ACAAGCAGCCACATCTCCAACAACAGTTATTGACACCCACGACCACGACGAACCCGCCACACAACCACGCCCGTATCAATCACTCAAGTAACCTTGCTGCCACCCACGCGGCATCTTCCAGCCCGAAAACCACCCCGGATCGCCACGGTGCTTGGATGGGGAATGCTAGGGAAAGTGACAAGGGGGTTGTTAGCCTTGCTAACGTTAAACCCCCGCAAGGTGAGTGTGATACAAATTCTTACCCATCAGTTATTATCCCGGATGACAAGCACCCACATCTTTGACAACAGTTGTTGGATGATACGACCACAACTGAGCTGCCAATCAACCAGGACAGCATTGCCACCACAGAGCAGGAGAAGCCTGTGATGTCGCCTAATCCGAAAAACACCCTGGAGGACGTTAGCGTACTGAAAGGGAATGCTAGGAATATTGGCGAGGGGGCTCTCTTACTTCAGGAGATTAAGCCCCCGCAATGTAAGTTTGACTTGCCAAAATTCCCAGCATTTAATCCAGATGACAAGCTTTATTGCCCCGGGAATAGTTATGTACCTACAGTGTCGGCCGCCAGCGCATCATGGAACATATTGGCAAAACTAGCTGCTAATGCATCCAAAAACAAAGTCGAGAGATCAGCAGAAGAGCTAGTACCAACCCGATACCACAGGTACATCAACATGTTCAGAAAGACGAAAGCAATGATGTTACCTCCGCATCGAAAATATGATTTTCGAGTAGATTTGATCCCCGGCGCGACACCCTAAGCTAGTAAAGTGATACCCCTATTGCCAGCTGAAGAAGTTGCTCTGGATGCAATGATTGATGAAGGCTTGCAGAAAGGTACAATTCGCCGAACCACATCACCTTGGGCGGCCCCTGTCTTGTTTACCGGAAAAAAGGACGGTAATCTAAGACCTTGTTTTGACTATTGTAAACTCAACGCACTCACCGTCAAAAACCGGTACCCGCTGCCGTTAACCATGGAACTGATTGATAGCCTACGCGACGCGGAAGACTTCACATGCCTAGACATGCGGAACGGCTACAATAATCTACGTGTAAAGGAGGGAGACGAGAAAAAGTTAGCGTTTACATGCAAAAGAGGCCAATTCGAACCTTTAGTTATGCCCTTTGGCCCCAGGTTTTTTTCAATTTTTCATTTCAGACATATTAAGAGAAAAGATTGGAAAGGACTTGGCAGCTTACCTTGATGACCTCCTAATCTATACACGGGCGGGAGTGGATCATGAGAAAGTTGTTGAAGAAGTTCTGGCAATCCTGCAATCGCACAACATCTGGCTTAAACCTGAAAAATGCAAATTTTCACGAAAAGAAATTGATTATTTAGGCCTTCTCATCTCAAAGAACAAAGTAAGAATGGACCCAACTAAGGTGTCAGCTGTTACCGAATGGCCTACCCCCAAGAACGTAAATCAGATCCAACGATTCCTAGGATTCGCTAACTTCTACCGACGGTTCATTAAGGGATTTTCAAAAGTAACCCAACCCCTGCACGACTTAACCTGTGAAAAAACACCGTTCATTTGGAAGAAACCACAAGAAGACGCGTTTCAGATCCTAAAGAAGTCATTCACGACAGCACCAATCCTCAAGATAGCCAATCCGTATAAGCCCTTTATACTTGAGTGCGACTGTTCCGATTATGCGTTAGGTGCTATACTCCGGTCATAACAACATTGTGGAATGATCATACATCCTATTGGTCCATTACCTTCCATGAGGAGTGTGATCTTCAAGAACAGCTTGAGAGACCATAACACAATCAGCAGATAAAAGAAGAAATGTGACGAGAGGAGATGACAAGAATAGAATTTCACCTCAAGTGCATTGTTGGTCTTATAAACTTATGCCCAATCAGCTCTTGTCATCTCCAATTCAAGGAAACAGCCATAGGGCTTCTTGTTTTCACCAGGTGGGCAATTCTGGGCATGAAATATGTTCAATCATTTTTAATATAGTTGATTAATTACTCCAAAAGAAAAATGATAGTCAGTATATAGTATAAGTGCCACTCAAGAAACCTGTGCAAGAAGCTACTTTTCTGGAAAGCCAGGCCTTGGGTTAGCTTTGATACCCCCGCACCGGATCTGTTTTGTCTCTCTTGCAAAACCAACACAGATAGGAGAGTGAAGCATTGGTTTTATCCTATATCAAAAGATGATACAAGATGAAGAAGATAAGACAAGAAATATGATAATGATGATTGATATGTAATTGTATTTCTGAAGAAAAAAAATCACTTAGATTTGGTTTTATCACCTGTCTTTTCCAAGGAATGGTTTGCCAAAGTAAGCCTTGAGTCTCCCAAGGAGGCTGGCAGGTTTTTCAATGTTGCACCTTTTTTCAGAGGTAACAAGTGAGAAAGGATCATTGTTCTTGTTTGACTTAGTGGTGGCTAATATAATGCTGTTGATTGCAAAACAGCAATGAGAATAAGGACTAAGTGCAGTCATGCCAGGGTTTTTGGTCTTCTTTTGGGAGCATGTGGGACATTCCAAGGTGACAGAAGACATGTTAGGCTACACTAAAGGGCAAATATGACATTCAGGATAGATTACAAGGAAAAGCAGGGGCAAGATTGAGTCAGAGAGAGACAAATGTACATTTTTAGATGATGTTTTCAAGCCTACTGGATTGTTTTCACACAAGTTATTCTATCTGTTGAAAGGAGGTGTTCAAAACTCCTTGTGCCAAGCCATGCTTGAATGATTTGAATGATTTTTGTCAAGGTGTGTGCAATAATATGGAGAAATGACTAATGAAACTTGGCAGTCAATGATCATTATGCAAGTCAAATCTTGACATAAGTAGCTCAAAATAAGCCATACCAACCTGCCCTTAAGCCTCCTGAAATTGCCTCCAAATTTCATCAGAGGTAGATAAAATACCAGTTTTACATTACAAAACTAGAGCACTCTTTTTAACTTGAACCAACATGTGAGGTACCAAAATAAGCAGAAAGATTTAGAGAACAACATATCAAATTCTTGAAACTTTTTGTGAAAATTCAAAAAAAGTACGTCAGAGGACTTAATCCTTGGGCTCCTCTGCCAAAAACCCCAGGTTTGTTATAAGCCCCTCTTCAAGGGTGCAGCAAACACCAGTGCGGAAAACGTGCTCGTGATGGGCTTAGATAAGCATAGAAGGAGAGAGAAAGTGGAAGAGAAGATTTGATAGAGAGATAGCAAGGTCAAAGGATTTAAGAGAGCAAGAGAAATTGCTGTGGTATTTTGAGAGAGTTGAAAAAAAATAGATTTTGAATTATGAGATTTTGCAACCAACACAAAATCCGAACCTTGCTCAGCCTTGCTCCCAACCAGGAGTTCAAAAAATCTCCTACATATCTCTGCCTCTGTGAAAGCATTCCTCTCCTCCCTCCCCTCTCATCATCATCATCAACATCACAAATAATATATTCTCCTCCAAACTTTTTTTCAGTCATGCTTTGAAAAATACACTTTTTCAATTACTCCATGTCATTTAAAAATAAAAATCATGAGTTATTATTGTAAAAAAACTCATGTTTCACTGTCAGGATTAAACCCTCTCCTAATTGGGATAATTTTTCTTTTTGGAACAATTGATTGGCATTATAGTGTAAATGTCAATCATCTATTGCAAAAAAATTGTTGTTCCAATTGGGACAGTGTTTCTGTTCATGATCATGGTTGCACGATCTTCCAGCGCATCAAAGAACTGAACTGATTGTTTTACATTTGGATGACATCAAAAGCAGGGCCAAGTGTTAGAATTGAGTGACCACTCTCAACACAAGTCACAACACTATTTCTCTCTGGGACACAAAAACTTGTTCATGGTCTTGTTACCTGTGGTACAATAATGACAAAAGAATCATGAGTATCAATACTTTTGATATAAAATTCCTTCATGTGTTTTTACAAAAAGTTGACACAGAATGATGATAAAAACGATCAAGCAATTTTCCATCTACCTCTTGATCACTTGCTTAGGCTCATCAATCATCCTTTTCCATCTCTACATCTTCACTTCCTTCTTCATCTTCCATATCAAACACATGTAAAACTCTACCTTTTCCTGATATCACACATCCTGTTCTACGTCCTTTGTTTCCATTCAAACTGATTTGTTCTGGTGAATATTCTGATTGAAGTTGATGTAATCTATATATCGGTAACTGTTCAACGTACAAAGAAATCATTTTGTTACTTGTTGAATCTATGTCGTGCAATTTCAACGGAGAGACTCACGCATTCCAACACGTCTGTTTTTCCGTCGAAGAGCTGCGGATACCGGATTGTGAGAAGCACGTAACGAGTAGCTGTACCAGGAGAAGTTATACGTTAGCGTAATTAGTTATCTATCAATGGTTGGTATTGAATCATCAATCGAGTGTGTTTCCTTACCCATACCTGTCCCTAGCTGCCCCAAGACCACTAGTTCGAGATCATCGAAGAATGCCAAATCGAGAACGATGACGTGCTCGAGTGTCTCATCTCCCTTACCAGCGAGCCGGCACATGACTGACGCCTGTGCATCCTCAAATGTTTGTGATTGATCAGGTGACACATTGACCCGGATCCTACGCACATCAATCTGATCCTCTCTACCCAGGTATGCAAAGTATTGACACTTCAAATCAAATAAGAGCATCCCCCGAATAAAACTTTAGCTTCATACCATGATTAGGTAAAGGCAGAGATCCACTCACGGAATCCACATAACGCGAACACAACAACTTTTTGGGAGTATTAGGCAAATTAGGTTTATTCTTGAACACGTCCACTGTCAGATTTGATCCAATCCTTTCAAAGATACTTGTCATCACATCAGAAAGATAACTCGAGCATGACATTAAATTAGCGTAGATTCCCCGAGAACTCAAAGTCCCGCCTTGTGTCGTAAGAGTTTCATTCAGTTTTAGATTAGGTGGAGAACTTTCTGAAGAAACCGTCTGCCGACGCAAGCAATGAGGAAGTATATTGGAAGGTGTCAAGCTTGCTTCATCTCGGTTGGTCAAGTGAGCTAAAACACCGGGAGTCTGAAAATCCTGGTTCGGGTTTATTTGAAAGTGGCTAGTATCAGGTGTAGCATGAATAGGCAAAGTAGAGCTGATATGGGGCTGAGAGACTGGCAGCACTCCAGAGTAGGGTAAGTGTGGTTCATGATTCCCTATTTGATTCAGCAGATCGTCAAGTCTTGTCTTGTGCTGTTCTCGTGTTTGGGGTCCATTGATATCAAAAAGACTTTCGTAGTATTCTTGAATGAGGTGATGATGTTGCAGTCGCAAAGCCACATGATCATTGTCATCGCCAGCTTGTTGACTGAATATAACCTGATCGAGCTCGTTGGTATTTCCACGTTGGATGAACTTACTGACAGTCATAAAGTCGTATGTGATTGGTGGTCTGTTGGGTGGACCAGCCGCGTTTTCAGCTGAAGTGATAAATTCAAACTCTTCATACAAGTTGATTAGATTGGTGTATGCCAACTAGATTTCCAAGAACGCTTTCAAGCTACGGAGTCATTCAGCATCTCACTTACCAGACCTTAGCCACTTGCAAAATTCCTTGTATGCGTATTCTTCTCGTTCAAGCTGATGATCCAGATCGTGTACAGAGAATAACAATTGCTTGAGTAATGCTTCGACCAGCAACAATGCTTCAAAATTCGAATCCTCAATCAGCTTTGGCTGCCTAGATTCAATCACACCTTCATGTGTTAGCTCCTACTATGCAGCATAGGACGTTTCTATGTATCAACGTACGCAATATCTGGATATACATGATTTCTGAACTCCGTGACCAACACAAAGAGTCTCTCTAGATTGGGAACCAGCAACTCAACAACTGCGCAGCGTATTCTACTCATGCCACCAGCACTAGCGAATTCCCACTTTGAAAAAACCTGTCTTGGGGCAAACAGATCGATTAAGCAAACGAAGCACACATAATGCAAGTTGGAAGGAGAGACTCACTCTTTCAGCTGTCTTTGTCCCCAAAAAGTCACGTAAGCCTTCAGAAGCTTGACCGAGAAATAATAATTGAAGCATCTGGAATGACAGAGGGGCAAGTACTACATTACCCCGATGCATACAGAAGAGTCACATCCAACAGTTAGACGAGTTGATCTTATCATGGCTGTGCTTGGCCACAATTGCAACATGATGGGATATTGTAACGAAAGGGGGACCCTACCGCCATGTGCCTTGCTGATTTCATCAAAGCTGTCGTACCATTTTTGAGCTCCAGACCTACACAGCCGCCATTCCTTGATGATGCTGAAATATCCAAATAGACAATCCCTCAACAAGCCATGTATGGAATGAGAAAGCCTGATTTGTTGATCTAGTTCCTGCGAGCGAACTCCCAAGACGGCCAACGTCGGCTTCGAAACAAAGGGGCTGTCGATGGGCAGGGGTACGTTTCCAGATGCTACACGCGGGATACAAGCGGATCTCATGTCCAGGTGACCATAACTGATAGTACCCTCAAGCGTAAGCCAGAACAACTGTAAACGGATTGAACCCAGGTGTCTAGGTGGAAGTGCCTGGGTGTCAGGCACGACAGATGGATCGAGAGCCATAAGTCGTACACTTCTCAGTTGAGCATTATCAGGTAGAGTCGTGCTTCCCAAATAGACAGTGCCATTGATGAAAAAGTGGATTCGGTCACGGTGCGAAGATAGGATAAGCAGAGAATTTACGCCGGTTTTTGGATGCGCTTGGTTCCCCTTGAACAACGAAGGTGGAAACTGGATTGAAGAGGATGATTTTGCTTTCCCGGTTGCATCAGACGTAGACACGGCTCCCAAATCATTATTCAGCCTACAGAAACATCGAGGGCCATCATATTAACGCGCGCGCCAGCCGATGCCATGGATCTGTGAAGGGGTGACGCATACATTTCCAAATCCAACATCGGCCGAACAGGTAAATTAGCCGGAAGATTATCGCATATAGCTTCCCCGGTCGATTTCAGTTGCCAATTTTCTGCTTCGGTGTGACGTGACGATTTGTCAGGTGAATCCAAAGGCAGCCAAGCAGCGAAATGGATGCTTCGGTCTGGATTTTTGACCGTAGATGATCGGGGATGCTCAGTCGAAGTGGATTCTTCCGGAATGATAGTTGGCGGGACTAGCAATTGGCCATCATGAACGCTCAAGAGGATCAATGCTGGGGGTCGGGTACCTGAGCTCGAGCCCAAAGCAGCTGCGAGGAATTGTCCTAGTGTCGATACGAAATGCAACATCAACACGTGAAGGAACAATTTCCATCATCACTTGTGAACTCTATTGCCAGAGATGAATCACAATCAAGCCATGGACGCGCACCGTCTGGACTCCAATGCAAAGCTGTAATTTGATCGTATCGTGCAGCTGGGTCGACCTGAACGTGTCGACTGGAGGGATCGCAGCATGGCATAGATCCGGTAAAGAACTGGTTGACGACTACCGACCAGACCGTCGGAGTAGAGTTTCCCAAGCGGTAGCATGTCAAAGTATCGAAACTCGCGCTTTTGGGTCGAGGAACCTCTGTCGAAGTGATCGGTGTACCGGCAACGGTGGCGGCAGATGGGCAGGTGAAGACTGCCAGGTCCATTGTGGGACAGCATGAGTTGACATTGAGATGATGCTCAGATGGAAGGGTACGATGAGAGAGAAGTGCGAAGAGTTCTGATGACATTGTGAGAAATTTACGAGAAGAAGGCAAAGGTCCCGTCGCCTCGGTGTGAGGCTGGCAGAGAATCGATTGGGGTTGGGGTCACGCACCACGGGAACCGGGCAAAAGTTATTCGGGGACTTCAGCCTGCGGGTACCCGGTATATGCTGCTTCTTCATTGAATTGGTTAAGATCACAGTCCACCTTCAATTCAAGAAATTGATCTTCATCTTTGGCTCACTTTATGGAAATATGTCAAAACTCTGCAGAGCAAAACACCAGAGTCAAAACAGTCTAATGCATAATTCAATCAACTCATTTACAACAATGAAGAACTCCAAATGATAAAGATAAGCAAAAATCCATACTTTTGACCAAAAACAACCATTCTCATCAAAATTCAACTTTCTTACAAGATCAATATCAAAATTACAACAAAGGATCAAAACGAGAGACAGAAAAAAGATTTATAAAACATATCGCATACGAAAGATATACAACATGCATGACATATAAAGATAAAGATATATATAAGAAAACAGATGGAATCATCTGTAATAGATTAATCATTGTAAAGAAGATTCAAAATCAAAAGACCGAAAAGAAAGTTGCCAAATGAGAAAAGAAAAGACCGAATGGTGTATTGAAGAGATTATCTTGAGCAAAAATGAAATTATGAGTCAACAACAGGAATTGGCTGTAAAAAATGGTGTGCATGCGTGCTTTCTGGTGAAAAAAGTGATGGAGTGGATAGAGTGGGTATAGATTCATTCAGCTAGTAAGTTAAAATAAACAAGGTGTACAGGCTATATTGCCAGCCCGCACTACGAAAGGTATCAAGTGATAGGAGCAGGGGGCCTTGACCTAAAAGCACCGGGACCTAGAGATTTACCGAGTAATTGTGGTTTTCTGATATTGGAATTCACAAAGTCTTCTGTCATCAAATTGTCAGGTTTACTAAAATGTAAGGAATTGAGTGCAGTGCTCTTTCGACGAATATGACCCAAAGAGCTGGCTGGTCTTGAGGTTGGATTGGAACTGTCAATCGACGGCTTTCGACGTGCAACTCCATAGGCTGGTGTGACTGATCTCGATGGGGGATGATGATCAGAGAGGCGCGAAGACGGCCGTGCAATACGAGTTTTAGAGTTATTAGGCGGTTGAGATGATTGATGGTCTGAAAGTCTTGATGAAGGTCGAGCAATACGAGTTTTGCTTGGAACAGGGACAGCTGCATGAGACTTCCTAGGAACGCGGGTAGTTTGACCTTCCGAGGGGTCTTGGTCTTGTGTGGGAGGTTGTGTAAAGTTTCTAACCGGGTTGCGATATGCGCTCAAACCGTGCCCAATTGATGGCTTCTTGGTTGGACTTTTTGAAACGGGTACTCGAGTGGAGGCGGTCAAGGCGGTAGACGGATTCTTGTATGCTGAGGCTAACAGTGACGCTTTTGGTACTGGAATAGCACTCACAAGACGTGAAGTTCGAGAGCTAACTAATTTCTGGGTCATACCTTGCATTCGCTGTGTCTCGGCTCTCAAGAACTGGAGGTGAGAGTTTCGAGTGTTAACATTTTCATTTGTGGTGGGAGTCTTGGAAGCTTTCATGGTCGTAGTCGGGTTACCATCTCTTCGCAAGACGGATTTGCCCAGGCTTGAAGGACTTTGACCTGGTGCAGGAATGCGGCTGTTGGGTGCAAGAACTTCATGCAATGTAGCTTTCAGTTCGGTTGAACGTCGACTGATCCTGAGGGATGAGCTCTTTGTTAAGGTCATGCTCGTCAAAGACCTGGGAATCGCCGTTGGACTCTTGATTTCAGATGCATTGACACTCAGTGAGATCAGTCGTCTGCGCGGTGTAACGGCGTTCTGATCAGCAAGGAGTTGAACTTGTGCGGTCTGTGGGGACGATTTGCACGCAGGAGAGCGTGAGAGATGACGTGGACTTCTTGATAGCTTCAAGCTTCTTTCACTTAGTGTTCGATCTTTCGAACGCGGAGACGAGTAGGGCGAAGCAGATTCAGATAGAGGGGCAGTGGAGGGAGTGAGCGGCTGAGGTTGGACCGGTAGATCGACAGGGTTGGTGACTTGTAAAGTTGCCAGTTGATCTCGCATCACACCCATCTCTTCGGTCAGATCTGATACAAGACGATACGAAGTAAGGGAAAAGATGGATTCAAACTCAGATGAGGCTAAAATCGAGGGAGAGTATGTGGAAAACGTTACCTCGCATATCATCTCGGAGCCTCTGACATTCTTCTTCAAGTCGGGTATGTTCGATGAGTTCATCCTCAAGTAATGTGATTCGTTCGATGGCTTTACCGTACTTACTCTCGACGTCTTGAAGAGAGCTTGTGACCATCCTAAGAAATGACTCGGTGGATGTCAGCGTTGGAAATCGTCTTCTCGAGCTGTGCTCGGAGAGTGATACAGGGGTAGATGGGGGAACAAATTGAATCCGACCTTTCTTTGCCTTCTAGCTCGTCGTTATCTAACTCCATATCGCGCAAACGAGTTCGATACTCTTCGTTCGATGTACGCAAAGAATCAAGTTCGGCTTGCATGTGTGTCATGGTTTTGGTGTGATCTCGTAGAGCTGATTGATATTTAGTCTGTGACATGGATAGGAGTGAGTGACTTGAAGCATGGAGAATCGATTGTTAGAACTGACCTTCCACTGATCTACTTCGTGAGTCAGGTTCTCTTCCCTTCCACGTAATTCATTGAGTTGTTTTTCAGTCGTAGCCAAATCCTTTTCAAGTTCGGCTTCTAACTCTTTTGAAGAGGTTTGAAATTCCTCCAACGCTGTTCGTGTATCATCAAGGTCATATTGTAGGTTTTTAGCCAAATTTCGATAATGGTCTAATGCTTCGTGATCAGACTCAAAGCTGCATAGTGGGAAAGCAAGGGTGAGTTCAACTAAAGATTGAGCAGGGAAAGTAAGGCACTTTGCGAACTTAGGTTGATCCATATGTGAAGCTTCAATATTTGATGAGAGATCTTATTTATTCTTAGGCACAGATCGACTGATTAGATAAGTTTTTGAAATGCGATTCACCACTTGGATTAAATACGTTGAGAGTGATGTGATAGCAAACCAGGTTTTCGATGCAATGGAATGACTGGTTTAAATGCTTGATAGGTAAGGTAAGGGCGAAAGATGAGTGGGTTGATAATTGAATGTGAAGACGTTCAAGGTGAATTGATTGAAGGTATATGTATGTTTGATTGAACTTGTTCGAGTGTTTGATCTGATGTTATAATGTTCTTCGTTCGTTCCGTGATAATTTCGTTGGCCTGGTTGTTTTTCTGTTTTTGATAAGTTTTCAGTGAGAAAGGTTAGCGTTGATATGAGTATGGTTGGAAAGCTGCTTAAAGTGTTAGTAGTGGCACTGGTCAGTGGTAGTATGTATGGTGATGGTCGAGGAGTCGTTGTATGCAGAGGTGATGAAGTGATGAGGATCAATGTCAGAAACTCAACCAGCGGTCAAAACTGTCTCACTTAACCACCGATGCACTTAGAGCACCCACTATGGGTGCGTTAACGAGGTGATTTAGCGTTACCGTAACGCTAAAATCCAGACAGGTCCACTACCCAGAATTTGGGACCCTGTGAGGAACTTCTGGTTCAATTGACATGAAATCTTCAGGATGCGGATGAATTCTCTGTCCCAGACAAATAAGCAAATACGAGCAATGTGACACAGCTTGATGGTGTGCATCACAAGTTTAGTATTCTATTACTTGGCATCATACAAGGGTGAATGTGCAAGACCTCAATATGTGAACTAATTAGTGTGCTCCAGAATGGCTTCCTCATACATAAGACATTTTCCAAAGAGTTCCCGGAAAAGAAGTCCTTGAACCATGAATTTTTGGAATGAGCATACTTCACTAGCAACACCGCAAGCGCTACGCAACGCAATGGATTTCGACCTATTTCCATTGCGTTGCGCAGTCGGCGCATTATTACGCTACGCAACCACTCCGCAATGGGGTGTTTTTTTTGTAACTTGCCGTTGCGGAGCGGTTGGGCAAATATTGCGGAAAATGCGCAATATTGCCCTATTTCCGCAATATTTGCCCTAAATAACCGTCAAAAACCGACCGCAATTGCGGTGCGGGTTTCTGACCAAGGGGTTTTTTGAACCCGGATTGCGGAGCGCTGGCACCGCACTATATTGCGTTGCTATTGCGGCGCCCAAAAGCGCTACGCAACCGCACCACAACTGCAACATAGTGCGGTGCTCTTGCGGTATTGTCACTAGTGCCTAGTGTCAGTGGACATGCCTGATGCTTGCCAATACCTCATGATGCCTTGTGAAATCCGTAGAAGGATAAATTTACTTTCAGTTTCATTGTAAATACTTATATTCTAATCCTATTGGCTGAATGCACTCTTCATCCCCACCCAAATTGTGTTTCAAGGGTAACAATAAGTCTCTGCTTCAAGTGACTAAGCTTGGTATTGACACTGGGGTTTTCAAGTGACATGAAGTAGAAAGCTGGAGGGCATGGTCCTATACCTGTCAATGAGCTGGTGAATCATGGGTAAAACAATCACAGACATTAGAAAAATGAACTCCAAGGATTGTGTCTGTGACTGTGTGCATTAATGCATAATCCAGCCTGCTGGCCGAACAAATTCAGTGATTTCATTGAGACCTTTAGTCATAAGTGTTAGGACCAGAAAATGAAATGCTTGTAAATAGTCAGAGATGGTTGAAACCAGTGCGATGAGTAATTAGTGTGTAAGAATCATAATTGTTGAGTTGTGTGGTAAGATTTTGTGTCAAGAAGCAAACATGGTTAAATTAAGACATATCTTGCCGAAGGGTTTAGCTTGACAAAGCCCTCGCTGACGCTGCCGCGCAGAGAGGGCTTTGTGAAGCTAACCAAAGGGTACACCCAATTAGCTACATTCCTGCTTCCTGCTTTTGATATCTCCATTGAGAACTTTGGGTTTTAATCAGCAAGTTTTATGAGGACGGTGGCTCACAACTTTCAAGTGTCTAAAGGGTAGTTTCGTTTGAAGCATAGACTTCCTGTTTTTAGGAGTGTGGATTGCGGACCAATGTGTTAGTGATAACCCAATGCACGGTCTAAATCAAATCCACTTGGTTCGGGCCCCTTTTCAACTTCAACAGGATCAATTTAAATTTCATAGATGCAGCCAAAAATAGTAAACCTTTGACTCCTGAGCCTCAATCTCTACTGTCAAAACAATGTTCAAAGCAATGTATGAACATTTGGGTTCCACATGGACTGCAAGCAGAGCAAAGTGTAATACATAAAGTCTTAGATTTATGATTACTAGGATTGATGGCGATACATATTTAGTTTTCTTCAAAATAAACAAGAATGTTCAGTGTCAACCATGTATGACTGTTTCACACAACATGACATTATTCTGACCAAACTTCATGTCACAAAAGGGCAGTAAGAGTGAACCAGAGTTTATCTCGTGGTAAACCAATACCCTCTAGAGCCTAAAAATATTATGATGAGGTCTTCACAATTGATCTTAAATCCTACAATCAAACAATACAAACAGAATTTTCAAATAACAAAACGAAGGTATAGATTAAATTGGCTAATTAAAGATTATGCATAATGGACAGCGATTGCTAGAATGATAAATTATGAGATATAGCAGCCGCCAGGATATGAAAATATAAAAGTACCTAGAAGTACCTGGAAATACTATGGCTAGATGAGAGTGAAATGAGCATATAACCTCAGAGAAGAGAACGTGAACATCATTGGTCGTGTCATAACAGAAAAGATCGGTTGCACAGGGGTATACTTCAACTGATGGTTACACTTTGTGAGATTGAATATTCAAACATGCGACAACATTTGAGGTAAGCTCCTAGTTTGCGTCGGGCGTTTCTGACGTGAGACCACTCTGATCTTGTCAGATAGAGATCTAAGTTTCGAGAAGCGCGGCCATCTTGCCGAGGGACGTATGTGAGTGATATCCTCTTCGATCTTATCCCACTCCATTTCGATGTTGTCTTGATAGTGGTTTATCGGCGAGTAGTGTATGGGCAGAGGGCTTGTCATCAGCGGCGCCGAAAGAAGTTCAGTATCGGAAGACGTGCTGTTGTCAATTTCTCGCTTGAGACTTTGCTGATAAAAAATTGAGAGATCTGAATCCGCACTCTGTCGAGAGGAGAAGTCAAACAATGTATCTGAGTTTATAGAATCTAACTTCTTATGCTGGTGGGCTGGAGACCGTGGCAAGCTACGATAAGAATGATTGAGATTCGGATCGGTAGGAGTTTTTTCCCGAGCTACAGATGAGTGGTGGACGGAAGGTGAAAGTAAGCTTTGAAGCCGGCCCACATCTTGTGACTTGAGTGTCGGAAAACAGGACGTGACTGTCATTGGACTTTGAATAGATGAACTTCTAGGCGGAGCTGGAAACTGGAGACCAGAAATTTGAGTTGTACGCCCATCGGATACGCGTGCGGTCGCTAAACCTGCTGGAGCTATTGACCTAATATATCATGTTCGAATATGTGAGGTTATCAAATCCAATGTAAGCGATGAGTTTCCTTTGCCATGATACGCAGAGTACTGACAAGTGAATTGGGGAAGTAATTAAGGGAGAGATTCTTGGTGTAGGGGAGACTTTGGTAGAAATCAACTTGGGCTCATCGTTGCAGTGGATTTGCGAACGGATGCTGTCTAAGGCGACTCCGATGCTGTTTAACTCAACCCTTCTGACATGGTTAGCATTCCGGGCCGTTTGTAAGGTGGTGCGGAGGTACGTCAGCTGGCTATTGGGGTGAAATAGAAAAGGATGTGAGATTCGAAGCTTGCAACCTGCAAGCCATAAAACATTTGAAAGCCGACGCACCATAAGGACAAGCTGATCCAATCTACATCATCTGGGCTCCGTTGGGGTTCATCGGACTGAGTGAGGGGTAGCCGCCCGGAAAGCTTTGGACCACTTCGCCGCTTCCAATTGACTCCATTGGCGTCTTCAAAACGATTGGTTGAGAGTTCAGGCTCATTGCTAAAATTTCGAGCACGCCATGGCATAGTGCCAAGTGGAAAAAGTAGGTTGAATATGATGTATGTAGAATGGCATGCCAAGATACTTTAAGAGGTAATGACAGAAGTGAAGCTCTTACTGACACATGGTTACGAGACCTCTTTGAGTCTTGATCTTCCTGATGGCCTTCAGGGGACGAAAATGGGAATTGAGAAATGTTGGTCCCATCACCTCTTGTGGCCACATACGGCATTGCCGACGTCGAGGTCCAAAGCAGTATCTCAAAGTACAGAATAAACGGGTACGGATTCCATTTAAGGTGGCAGATTGGAGTAAATATCTCGTTCAAAAATAAATGATTGCGGCAGATTGAAATAGATACCTCGTTCAAAAATAAATGATTGCGGAAGCACCTGGCAAGGCTGGGCTAGCGCAAAGAATGGAAAACGGCGGATATCCTGATATACAACACAAGTACACTCGGATGCCCGAGGGATGACCAAGCCTTCTTGCGGGGGATTCGACTTCAGCGGACATCCTTAGACACGCCATAGAGAAATTTCCGTTAGAGCTCAAAGCTCGGGTGCCTGGGCGTGTGCAAGCACAGCCAATTGCACTCCCCAATGAGCTCGGATATCATGCCTGCATGCTCTTCATGACGTCCGGTTGGGCCCCCATTCTCAGTTATGCCTGACACCCTGTGGCTCAAAAGTGTCTTCGTAAATGCTAATAATCATTTAAATGAATTCATCAGCAGTCAAGCTATGAACTGGGATTAAACCTTAAACACGAAGTGGGCTATGCAAATGCTACTGAGTCAGATCACTTCTGGGAAGCAAAAGGCCAAAAAAATCTCCGCCGCTCAAAAGATGATAATTTCATGAGAATCACCGTCATCGGGGCATATGATCAACATTTTGCGATAGTCTTAATTTACAAATTTCCCACCGCAAACTTCACTTTCATCGGGAGAAATGTTTTGTATTGGGTGCTAATACAACTGCTTGACCGCAAGCAAGAAAATAATCAGTTTCAGTCCTAGCTTTACACAAGCCTCACCAACCGCAGAGACGTCCTCCCTTTGAGAAGGGGCTATGGCGCGACACCACGCTAGGCGCGAAATATGACTGAAAGAAGTTATATGGCATTGAAGTGAGATGATCACAAAAAACTAAAAAGGTAGCGCACAAATCAGACGGAGGTTAAGCTTAAACGGAGGTCAATGTGTTCTACACTGCGATTCAATCCCGCAAGTAAGAAAATGTTGCCACAGGAAACTCTTCTCTGCGACATATTTTTCCCCTTGGAAGGGTAGTAGTTTGTGGATAAAGAGGTCCATCCTTGTCTTTCTTTTATCTAAACTGAAATATAGGTATGCTTGTAACCTTCTTTCACCAGTATCATCTTTGGTTTTTCAGCTTCAGCAGATTGGCTGTTTGACCTGAATAACACATCTCTTTTATATATGAACCAGCTATCATGGATCAGAGCAACGAGTGACATTGAACTTTCAAAGATTCTTCTTTAGTACCCACCATGCTTATCAATCATCCCAAACATGAAACTTTGATTGAAAATCTGTCCTCGCATTTCATGAGATAGTCTTCTCATCATCTCCCTTTTTAAATTTTTACAATTTCACCACAAAGAAAGTAAGGTTAACATACCACAAACAAGTTTCACTCGTTTTTTCTGAATAAACTGAAAAATCTTCTAGAAAATTTCAAACATAAATGCAATTCTTTGTCTGGGTCTATCTTCTTCTTTCACCCACCAAATCCTGATATTGAATGATCAAATTTTATCAATCTTTGAAACCCATATTTTCCTAATGAGAACCTAAGGACGAATCCTAATTTTAATATAAGGGACTTCTACATCATCATCATCATCGTCTGTATCATTCATCGTATCAACCATGACCTCAAAACTAAAGAGTCAACAAAAAGAGTCAAGAATAAGTAAATGAGATAGACCAAATGAAGAAGTGTAAAAGGATATCCACACAAACACGTACATCATTGCTTTCACATGAGGTGGCACAGGTTTCTTCGAAACAGTTTCCACTAACTGACTCATCCTAGAAAAGATCACAAATATCTTCAGCATTTCCTCACAAGACAACAGTGGTCAAGAAGGTGAGTTTTGATTAGACTAAAAAAGACAAACTTCATTTTAAGTCGTTCCTCAACTTTCTTCTTGGCCATAAAGCTACTATAAAGCATTGAAACGCCACTACTCAACATGGTGATTTCAAGTTTCTTTTCATTTTTGAAAAAATCAATTAATCCCTGAAGTGTAATATCATGATCAATATCAAATCGATCCCAAAGGGTCCATTCAGTATCATAATACTAAATCCAGAAAATCATTTTCTCTAGTTAGTTCAGAACATCTCAATATTTACATCTCCTTTGGAAATATGATGGACTCACCTTGTTTTTAGCTGCCGCGATCGGTTCTGAGAACCCAAAGAACGGTAAAGCCAAGTTCACAAACCCATTCTTATAATCTTCTAAATTCTTCTTTTGATCAATGATCTTATACAACTCCAAACAAACAAGTCCAGTAGCCAAAGCAGTGGTAGTAGCAATCGCTGGGATAATCCTTCCTGCAATCAACTTGGTTCGATGTTTATCAACGTTATTAATGGAATAATTAGTGGCTCTTAGATTGGAGGCAGCAGTGATGAAATCCATATGGAAATTCGTATCATCATCCTTTTCGAATTCACATGGGTTTAATCGGAATCCGGCCAAAGTTGAAGGGGCTGGTAGGGTCGAGGCAACCTCAGCCTCGTCGACATCTACAAGATTGGAAGTCAGGATGATGAATATATCAGCGAGGCATAATTGGAGATACGAGTTTGAAAGTATGTACCACCAGCTGCCTGTGGATTCACAGGTTCATCATCTTTAACTTGCACTTGCACACCGCTTTTAGGCGTAAACTCGGGTACAATCACGGTCTCTAAAATCTTTTTGATCGCAACAGGGTCTCGATCGCCTTTTAAGCCATAGTTGTAAGCATGAAGATTGGCTGCAGCGATAATGAAAGTCAAGTGATGGGGCTGAAGAAGAAATGCACGGAAATCTGAATAGGTGCGTTCGATATACTGAAATAGGAGGTTCAACATACGTCGGAAGGGTCAAAGTTGATGGACCCAGGGGCCCTCTTAGGTCCCGACCAAAACGGTACACCCTCTTTGGTAATCTGTTCAAATAATGACATGATCAGGAATTCGTATACATAGCTAAGCGTAGCTGACATCCTTACAAGATCCTTTGGTAAGCTGTGCAACAATTGTCGAATCTCATTGTTGAACTCGAGTTCGAATTTCAATCGAGCCCACTGAACACATTCACCAAATGTAAGCGGACGGTTGTCGACCAAATATTCTTTGATCTGGTTGAGTTGTTCTGCTGGATTACCGCCTTGACGTAAAGTATCCACAAAGTTAGGAAGCGACAAATACTGATTGACAGTCTCTGGAGGTTTGGTGAAATACTCGGAGAACCTCTCCTTGGCCCACTAAAAATGAGTCAATTGACATGTAAGCTCAGAAAATTATTTGAGGGCAAGGCATCAATGTGCGTACCTGGATAGTGTGTTCGATGACATTTGGGAAACTTTTGACCGTACACATTGGTGCTTCTTTCTCGGGGGGATCTTGTGATGAAGAGTAAGATTCGGTGAGATGAGGAAGAACAACTTGAACGTTGGCTTTAGTGCCCAGTGTACCAGATTCTAGCAAAGGCTTTTCGTAGTAAACGCATCGTCGATCCATGTATTGTCTGGCTAGAACGTTATCGAGTGCATTGGTGACACAATCGAGATTATCAAAGAAATCGTCCCCAAAGATATTCTCGGTTCGATCACCCACTGCGTCCTGATAGGTCACAATCTTTCCTTCTAATTCTGGGTTCATTTCACATACAGCCCTTGGGGCTGCTTGACTCTTGAATGAGCCTAAATCACGAGGCCGGAATAAGAATTGGCGATTGAGGTTACTTTTCTCAATGGAGTCCATGTCGGTTACAGATATTTTCCCATTAGGACCGGTTGCCAACCCCATCATCGACCAGTTCTTCAACATTTCACAGCCAATCGCACCAGCCCCAACCAAGAACTGTCGGTAATTTGCAATTTTGTCTTGAAACTCTCGTCCGAAAACCGCAATTTGATTGTCATAGCGAGAATTGATTGGCTGTACATCGGCTTCTGTTGGAGCCTTGGAGGGTAGCGCTTCCAAAGCGTCAAAGTAAAGATGCTGGAAGGTGGGGTGAAACTTGCCAGAACACGCCTTCAGAACTTCCTGCGCGACATACCCACCAATAACTGCTGTGATAGGTGCTAATTCACCAACAGCTTGGTATGAGAGTTCCATGACAGCCTTCTCGGAAAGGTCGCCAAGATCTTCCTGGTGTAAACCGTGAGCAATTTTGAGGACTTCCTTAGCGTCTTCTTCATTCCTAGGTCGGGGTAAACGTTGATAGTTTTCTTGAAACTTGGAGAGGGCTTGAAAGCCAGAATGAAGGGAAGCCGGGCGGTCAAACTTGGCAAAATCTGTAATCAAAAATTCGGGTTTCTCTAACGATTCTCGCAATGGTTTCTGAGGAAGAGGTCAAGTCAATCAAGCTGCCAAAAAAGGGATACAACACGGCTAGACAAACTTACGAAATTCAAAGATTTGGGCATCTTGACCTGATGAAACCATCCGCCAGATTTATACTCTCCAAATGACGTTGTATCCCCGATTGTGAAAGTATACGGACCTGTAAGCGAAACAAAAAATATTCTCAGCAAGGCTGCAGCAGCATCCAAGAAATGGAATGTCACACCTTTTACGGTCACCTTCCGAGGTTCTGACTCATTGAATCCGTCCATTCCTTTGACTTCGGTGAAATTTACAAAGTCACCGTCCTCTAAGCCGTGCCTAGAGTCATCCAAAGTGGTCACGAGCCCTTGGGCACTCTTTTGTGGTTCAAGTTGGCAAATATGAGGGTTTCTCTCCAGCTTTTTACGGGCAAGGTAAACTTATGCTATATAGAGTATAAGACTGACCTTCTCAATAGATACGATCATCCCAGAAACAGGTTGTTCACCATTTGTGTCGATGACCGGGAATTCAGGACCAAAATCGCAAAAGACAGAACTGCATATGATAGATGGGATAGGCTTGATTTAGTAAAGCGAACTCTGGGCGAATATAAGCATTGGTCTCAACCTACCCAAAGAGCCCCCTCACGTCAGCAGCGATAAACTGGATGCCATTTCGGTGGGTGAAGTCGTCCAGTTCTAACTGTTTGGCTAGAGAAACGTTGGTCAGGACAACAACCTGCAGATGCCAAACGGGAATTGTATCAACAATCAACATAATGAAATAATGCGTATGATAAGCTTGCACCTGAAACGACTTGAGAGCGTCCAAAGTCAAGTCTTTTCCGAGGACTCGTACAGGAACGTATGAGTTCAATTCGGCTAGACGAGGTTGAGTTGAGACATCCCTAGCTTTCCCAATATCTGAATCACGCAGGAAAAACTATACGTAGATGAGAAACAATCTGATCAGTGATACATTGCCACAAGGCATCAAGATGTCACTTACTTGAGTTCCCAAGTCGGGTTTGGCCGTGAACTCAGGGTCATGAATGGTGACAGATTTAACACCGGCGAGGCAAATATTTTTGGCTGAGACAGAAGTGTGGAAGGAAAGTCAACATACTGACCAAACTCTCAGTGATCGGAGCACGGGTCAGCAGGATCATCACATACCGATTTCCACTCCAAGTCCCTTCATGCCCACAATGAGAACATCTGAGTTGGCCATCTTCCGCATGGCTGTGAATATGATCATAAGTAACTAAATGAATACTCAGAGGGTCTCTTTGTTCGAAAATGCTAGCTGAAAGACGCACCTTCATGACCCAGAACATATCTATTTGAAAGTGTAAGTCAACCCAATACATTAGTCCATAGTACTGATACCATTCAATCTGATTTATGTGCGGGGAAGGAGATATTGGACTCCTGTTATTGCTCCTATCACTTGGAGTTCAATAGAGAGAGATCATGGTCCTTTGAGGAGAAGACTTACAATTGACGCGAATATAAACTTTCATCGATGGTAGATTGATCGACCTGCATTGAGACTTGACCAGATGACTCTCCCTCCGAGTTTGCAATAGCCATTTCGGAGAATAATTTGATGTTAATGAATTGATAATAGTCACTTCTTCAGTATGAGATATGATTGATAGCAAGAACGGTGTGTTGACTTGATCGGTAAAGTGGAGTCACCGCAAGTCAACTGTGGCAAGCAAGAGCACTACATATACTACACTCTAAAGCCATATAACGATATGTAATAAGCTACACATAACACATATACAGGGAAGTCGCTCTTTCGTTATGTCATCACACTTCCAGAAGAATCCTTTCTAGTACACCTTACCTCACTGGAGATCATACAGTCGATTGCAGAAAGTTTGGAAACTTTTGCCCGCCAAACTTGAGCAAACTGGCGCGGAATTCTTTCCAAGCTTTGTGAAATTGACTGTATGTTAACAAGAGGATCTTGTGTTGGGATGGGTGCGATTGAGATATCAAGGACCGCCAACACAGGGAAAGCGGCACGGTGCACCTTTTTTGACCGTAAGAAGGCCCGAATCTTGGGCGCATCGATCGGTGGAATCTCTCTTACCTCAGCTTCAATCCGGAGCGGGAGGCAGGAACCGCAGGAGACCATATCCTCATACTCAAAAACCAGGTTCAGAACGCACTTCCAAGAGCCTTTCTGGTCCGTCCTACGCAGAAGAAAAGACGTGTATCCTACGCAGAAAAAAAGACGTGTATGACTTGGAGCCCGTAGAGTTCTTCATGTAATTTGGAATGGGCCTTGTTGACAACGTGCTCTGCATATCTGACTTTAATTTTTCCCGATGCTAAACAGGAATAACCTCTGATCAATGTTACAAGCAACCCATATTTTTTGGACAGCCAGGAAACATCCAAAAGCCTCACGTGGTACAAAGGTGTCAAACCTTGTAACTGACAATTCCTAAGGTATCCTACCTTCAGATATCAGTAAATACATAGACCTGCTTTGCACCCTTTAAGCTTCTCTTCTTGCTGCAAAGATCACAATTTAAGTCTTGGGTAAACTCAACTAACAGTGAGGGAATTATGACAAACTCATACACTTTTGCGTGTGAGGGGAATGCCTTGTGCAGGATAAAAATTGACCTCCTTATAAAACTTTCTATCCCTGTCTGGGGATTTTTGCGAGGCCAAGCCCCTTTGAGACACATTGAGTCATCAAAAAAAATCAAGGAATGCAAGGAATACTCCCCCTACTGGCTCTGGAATTTTGAGATTTTTGTCAAATTTGCACGGTATTTTTGGGTATAATCACTTTTGATATTCAAATACAAAAAAAGCACTCAAAAATGCTCAAAAACCTCAAACTACAGGAGGAAATAGTAGTCGGTACAAGGTATTGAAGAATGGGAATGGGTCGGGGAAAAGGAGTTTCGGATAATGGAGTACCGGGTCACGCGTCTCTTCGTTATCCATTTCTTCTCAGATGATGTGCAACATTTTCTCACTCTTATAGCTAGATCAAATATGTCGTCATCAAAGAAATGGATGATTAGGAAGTGGAATTCCCTAATGATTCCCACTTCATTCGTAACAAAAATCATTATTATTGTTAGAACTCATTATTGTCATTATCCTGAAATCCTTCCTTCCTCTGCGAAACATTTCTTAAGAAGATATTTTTATTTCTATAATAAATACAATCTTTTGCTCGTTTGTTTTATTATGACGACTGATTTGGATACTATTAATCATGTCAATGAAACAACTGCCATTTTCGACGATATCGACAAAATCCTTGCCAATTACGATGATACCGGTGGCAGTAAGAACACCTCGATGGCGCAACTTCGTACCCAAGTTGCTTCAATCTACCCTTATGAGGACCCAAATTTCCTTTATCACTGGTCTTCCGTGGCTCGCGCCGCCATCAATCTGGACGCTCGAGCAAACCGATTGTGTTTCCCTCTCACTTATGAGTGGCCAGAGAATCCTGACCCTCAAAGCATTCCGCCTATCGTACTCAGCGGTAGACTTTCACCTCCTCCCACCATCGATGTCTACGGTGTCATTGAAGGGTTCTTCGATAGACCGATCCAACCCTCACCTTCCAGGTTTGAGGATTTATCGATGTTTCCCTCTAATCCTATCACAAACTCTGGCAAAGCCCCTCCACCACCTCCTCTTTTACCCCAGGCTTTTTCAGTCGGTGCTCGTACGCCAAGCCCCCCTGCAGTTGACCCCCCTCCAACTCAAGGACCATCACTCCTTCATCATATCACTTTTTCTAAAAGTCCTTGGTTCCCTCAAAACCCCCCAGTTACAGCTCGATCTGATCATCCAACCATCTCTCGCCGTACTGTGGTTAAACAACAGCCTATTCCTTCTTGTCCCATCTTTGAAAGGATCGACAAGGGCAAGAGAAAGAGAGATTCATCTTTCTCATCATCCCGTTCTTCAATCCCCCCCTTTATTACAGCACCAGCTGTCTCTGGCATCCCAGGTCACCCTGGTCTTTCTTCTTTTGTCCCAGCACCAGCTGTATCTGGAGCACCAGCTACCTCTGGAATCCCAGCTTTCGCTGGTCCCTTTACAGGTGCTATTACTTCTGCGCCGTATTTGGATGACAACGAGCACCTCGTTCCCAAAGAGTTCTCCCCCGTCTCTTTCCAGGTTAATCAAATTGCGCTATTGTATAAATCCGACATTAAACACCACATCAGTGCTTTCAACTCCTGTAGAAATAGACCTGAGAACTGGCAGAATTCTCTCACGAAAGATCTCCTCGAATACAGCTTCGTGGATCTTTGAAAGTTTTATGGAGCAGTTGCATCATCTGATCCCCCTCAAAGTCGTCTCCGCATCAACGCTGATGGAGATCTTAAAAACGTTGAAGGATCAGCTCCCAAAGAAATTACTGATAATAATCACTGGCAGAACTTACTCACGGTCCTCAAACACGCCTACATTGCAGCATTTCCTCCTGCAGCTGTTTCAATTAAAAGCTATTTCGACTACATCCTCAGCCTCCCAGGTCTCTTTCAAGCTAGAGTTCACTGGGAAGATGTACGTGATTTTGATGCTGAACTCCGGAAAGAATTTGCCTCACGTCCCAGTCTTGTTTGGGGAGACTACGAGCACAAATCCCTTAAGGGCATCGACAACCAAATTCTTTACAGCTCAACCAGAAAATTGGGCCGTGCAGCTATTCCTTCCTCCAAATATCCTACAACTCAATCCACTCCTTGAACCCCTAGGCTCGCCATTGAAGCAGCTCCTGCTCCCTGCCAGTCTTCCTCTCGCTCCGCTATTAAGAAGCCGCGAGGTCGACGAGTCAAGCCCAAGTATAAAATTCGCGACTCCGAAACTCTTCCTGTGGCTGATCAGCCTTGTAATAACTGGAATGCTTGCGTGTGTCCCTACAGCAACAATGACTGCGACCGAGTACACGGGGTATGCAACAAAGATGGATGCTTTGAGAATCATCAGGGAAGCGTCGCTCACAAATGAGCCTAACGCCCGAACCTTTCTGAGAGGTCTTGAAATCGATGTTCTCAGTAAAGGTTACTCTGCAGCAGTGGAATCATCTATCCATGCAGCCCCTCTTCCTTCAGCCCCACCTCTTTCTTCTGATCCTTTAGCAGCTTACGCTATTAAAAGAAGACCCGACCTTTTTCAAATCAACTGCTCAATCAATGTAAAAAACTTACAATCCCTTCTCAAAAATCACCCAAACAAACCATTTGTAGATTCTATTATCGTCGGCCTTACAGATGGATTTTGGCCAATTTCATCTTTACCTTCAGACGACACAGTTTTCAACAAAAACCACGCTACAGGTCCAGAGGCGGAAGAGGTCCTTACGAAAACTCGAGACAAAGAAGTCAAGCTCAATAGGTTCTCTCTGCCTTTTTATACCCTCCTTCCAGGTATGAAAGTGTCACCCTTATGTCTGGCAACAAACCCAACCTCTGGCAAAGTTTGTATGTGTACAAATATGTCCTTTGCCAATCCCTCTCCAAACGATCTCATCGAAAAGGAAGACATCCAGATAGATTTAGATGGCATCCCTTATTTCATCCCATTTATGCTTTATCATTATTTCGGTAAACATAAATTTATCCTTTGGAAATCCGACGTTGACGCCGCCTTTTGAAATCTTCCTGTCTCTTGCCAGTGGCAAGTTCGCCAAATCATCAGAGTGAAAGATGCTTTTCACGCGGATAGGAACGTTAACTTTTGTTGTTCCAGCTCGCCAAAGTTATGGTGTGCATTCTTTTCACTGATCCTCTGGATCGCATATCATAAAACTAAAGGCACGACTGTGTTTCTCGGCGAAACTGGATTAAACCCCTAAGCCTTAACAATAAGTATACCTAGACGACTCCAATCTCCTCAGCGGCCAGCCTCCTCCCTACCTGCTTCAAATCCCTTAAACCCACTTAGTTATCAAATGAACAGGCTTCAGATAAACCCATCAAATTGGATCGGTCATTAGGTTTAATCTTTGGTAGAGCTCAAGGTTTTTCACATGAATAAATGGAAACTCTTACCAATCTCATGACTCCTACTGCTTTTTGTGATCTCATCATGAGAGATTTCGGAGGGATTCTTAATGTGGAGATTCACGTACGTGATTGAGGTATGTGTACAAGTCCATCTTTGATCAAAAGCAAACAAATCCTTCTTTCACCGGATAGATTTTGATGATGGTTTGGATTGATTGTAGATTGCGCTGAGCCAAACGGTATGTGATCTTTCCTCTCGGCTTCTTGACTTCGTTGGGTCAGGTATTGCCTGGTAAGCAAATCTTATCATTCTCTATCAATATTGATCCATGATAGCATCTAACTTGAATCTATATTTCAAAAGACTCTGGAGGTATCTTCCTTAAGCCAGGTGCCGGTACGGAATTGATGAGAGTCGATATGGGTGGAGCCGATCATGTGAAAAGCGAGTTCTATCAAGCTTGCGCGATGGTTTGGTTGTTTAGGTTTACTTCAACTCAATCACGGCGAGCTTTGGCTCAACTTAGCCAGCATGTCTGGTCATAATAATAACCCTTTTGCTGGTTCTCCTCGTCAATCTATTGCACCAACTCACATTCAGGACCCTACTTCTCTCACAGACCTTTGTTCTCTCATCAACTCAACGAATCAACCTTCAGGATCTCCTCAGCAACAACAGGCTACCGCCGATCAATTCTTAAACGTTCTCAAGGGTCGATTTCTATCCGATCTTCCTTACATTTGGCTCTCTCCTCGATGTATTGTCTCTCTTGCTACCAACAAGATTCTCTCGGTAAATTCTGATCAATCCCTCAATGCTTATGCAACTGATTGGCGAGATTGTAGCAAAGACAGGCAACAGAGAGTGGAACAAGAGTCTGGCTATGGTTATGGCACTGGGCCTCACATTTGGGCTTTGGCTGGCAAGGCATATTATTACATGCGCAGGACTGGTGGTGATCAAACCATTCTCCTCAGCGGTGAGAGTGGCAGTGGAAAATCGGAAGCTCGACGTTTATCAACATGTATGATCACCGATCTTTCATCAGCACTCCCAGGAAAGAAGGGCTCAAAACTCGTTCAACAGATCCCGGCTGCTCAATTCATTCTAGATAGTTTTGGAAACACTTTCACTTCAGATAACTCTAATGCATCCCGCTTTGGTCAATACACCGAGCTACAATTCGCCAAGAACGGTAAACTCTGTGGTCTCAAAACCTTGGAATACTATCTCAAACGTCAAAGGGTTGTTTCTCTAGACTTTCCTCCATTTGCGTTTGAACTAACCTCTTCATTTGTACTTGTAGATGTCTTTGTATCAATCAACACGCACACAAAAAGCTTTAGCTCTTTAAACCCTACCCAAGAACCTATTCACCAAAGTTCTCTCACTCAGCAGCCCTTCATACATCTTCCCACTGTTGAAACCCGTCTTTCATCATGTGTATCATGATCATACAGGCTTTTACGCAAAGGAGCTGCAAGTCATAGAAGACATTTCTTGATTTGTCGTGTATATCCGAAGCAAAGTGAGTCATCACGAGTTTCAACGGTTTGTTAAACAACAAATTGTTTCTCAGGCTCATGTTCGACTTGGAAAATCAAATTTAGGGATGAAGATCGTGATGGATCTGTTTTTCCACTTTTTTGAATACAATTCTGACTTGATCATATTTCTTTTGACGTTTTAGGTGATTGTTTCTGTGAGTTTATTGACATCAGTGCAGATTGTTTCAAGTTATGTTGGTAAAGAACATTTCTTAATAATCATGGATTCATTCTTGGGAATCTCAGCTCAAGTTTGGCAAACTTTGATTGTTGAGTCTCATTCATTCATCTTTCCAATTTACCAATCAAGCTCTAAACTGACAATCTTCTCATGATAGGTTCTTGGCTTTCCACTTCTCTATTGTTCTTTACCTACAATCAGAGCGATTTGGTTACGTCTTTGTTATTGTCTTCCGGCAGATCAAAGTCAAACTTCAGTGGATCGTGTCTCAACCTCTGAATCCTTCGAACGATTAGGATCAGGACGTTGGATACTACTTGGAGGCCTCTACATCACCATCATTTTAAGATGTCCTGCCTTTAACCCAGCCAAAGACAATCCATTCGCAATCACGCGGCTACCACTTGATACACCATCAGTTTCACTTACAGCTGCACTCGCTAAGCATCATTCTGCACACGGATTAAATGATACACCAATCGCTCAACAATGTCTTCTTCAACGTCTCACGAGTCTTGATTCACGGTTACTTTATACAATTTTGGGTCACAATTCACTCTTCAACTGTCATTGGTGTCGACATCCATCAAAAGAAGCTAATCATAAAAATGATCATTCCTACTATCATTTACCTTGTCTTGCATCAAAATATGCATTAGCACTCATTACCTTTGTCCCTAACACTGTGTCCGCGAGAAATGCGCCCGACGCCGGGCGAGCTCGAACTACACACGAACAGCGTAGGTTCGAAAGCGTTTGTTGCCTGAAGTTTGCAGACTGAGGCTCAATAATCCTCAGATCCGAAAAGCGTTACACAAACTTGCAGCCAAGATAATCCGCTGAAGCGGCCAAACAAAAGAGAGCTGTGCTGTGCGGCTCATTTAATGTATTTGGGGGTTCTCACCATCCGAGTGATTCTTCAGGAGGAAAGGACAGAACCCGGCATTTTTCATATCTAAGGGAAACCTGAAAGGGTGAAGATTGATGGGTATGATTATTCTGGTAAAGACAAAGACTCAAGACATACCAGATTGAGATAGGGATACATACACAAGATAGGAGTTTGATGCGATTACCATCACGAGTTTGTTATTGTTTTCCTCTTGTCAATCAAGTATGACTTCAATCTTTAGTCATTAGAAGCTATTTTCTTCTTAGGCGGTCCCTTGAAAGATATCTGTTATGCCACAAGATGTCTGTGCTCTTTTCAAATCGAATCGATGGTATCAAAAAGCTATCCTTTATGGGGTTATTTCGGGTTATTTCCTATATGAAAGCATCCTCCTCTAAGAGCAGTGTCCTATGTTAAAGCTGCCCGTTGAAGAACGTGGACCAACACGATTGACTTCCCCTAAGAGTGGTTTCATTCAACAAAACTGGCCGTCAATCACTTCTACGTGATTGTGTGATAGATTTATGACACGCACACGCGTCCCTTTGATCAGCGACGAATCTGTGACTCAAAGGCCGTTGACCGAATGGGCTATCTGCTGATACTCTGTTATTACCCTGCTTTGTATAAAAGTGGAGCAATTCTGTTACGGACAATTAATCACATCTCACCTCCAAACACACTTGAACTTTTTCAACATGGCCATCACAGTCCACGGTAATCTCACTCTTGCTGGACGCTCGTCTCTCATGATCACCACCCGCTCGAAGACAATTGCTCGTACTCCCTTAAGAGCTAGAAACAGAAACGCTCGCAGACACCAGCAAAGAGATAGATCACCTCGCCCTCAGCTAAGAAGAAACCCTCGAAGAGCCGCGAGCGAACCCCTCCCGATCCACTTACACAGACGTCCGCTGCCATCCTTACGCGACGATCCAGGATTCTGGACAAAGATTGCTACCCTTCCAGAAAATCTCTACCCTTACCTTTTGCCTCATTGCAACCCACGTGACTCCACCCGAGAAATCCTGCGACAACTTATTTGGCACTTCAACCCAGCCCGACGTATTCCCTCTGACACCTTGAAAGACAAGATACTTGAGTATTATCAAGAAGATGTTGTCCGTGGTTTTGGAGCGTACTATGGAGTTTAGCAGTTCGTATACTTCGCTGTTATGATCAGTTTGATTCCTTTCTGACACCTACCTCTTATGCTTTAGGAAAATTTACACTCTCATCATGAGGAACTTGTTACATCTTTTTACCACTGTTTCACGCTTAACTCTTTGTGGGTCATTATGAAATTTGTCGGCAAGATTTTCCTTTTAAGACCCTCTTTTTCAATTTTTGAGGCGTATTTTTACGTTATTTCTCTTGAGTTATAAATTCATCTCATTTTGACTTGTATATATTGTTATTTTCTAAAACTTTCACTTGAGTACGCTATATACATGATTTACTTACTGTATTCTCTTTCAACTTGCTTCTGATATGCCTGGTTTTGATGGTATTTTTCTTTCATCTTGTGAATAATTTATCATCTCATACAAACTCTCTATATTCTTGTTTTCTAAATCTAGTCTCTCAAAACTATATATGTAGTGAACAGAAAGGTTGAAGGTTTTTTCAATTTGTAAATAACATGTCTGGTGGTGTTTTTCTATGAATGATTTGTTTGGTGGATGTTATCTTGAAACTTTTGAACCTTACTGATCAACTTCACTATCTGCAAAGATTCCACTCTGGTTCATCATCATCATCAGTGTGTTACCTGAGATTGAACTGAAAATTTTTAAGGCTCACAATGTTCCTGAGACTGACGATTGACAGTGTTTCTTCCTCAATGCCTAGGTGACCAACCGGATTGGACATCATCACAGCGTGACCAACTAGATCATTTATGTCTATTACTACTGAACACTCAGTCTTTGAGTAAACAATGTCAGCATGTAGGCGGGGATGCGAAATATAGCAGTTTCTTGATGAATCATTACCCTTCAGGCTTGCAAACTGGCTGACCACCAAAAAAACCGTTGGTGTTGCCTCAGAAACAAAAGCATACTGAATTTTCCCAAAATGATTATGTCCTTCAATAGAATATTCAATTTTGCTGTTTCCTTGACTCCTGCAAAGCTCGTTGGAGGTGTAATGCTTCCCAAAAATCCTCAATCGTTTGGTAGTTTGAACCGATTTAGGCAGAGCGGGATGATCACTAGAAGGGGAACTGATGTCCGAAAACAAACCGTAACGCTTATTCACAGCAAGATTCAGATATCGAAACCAGATTGAATAGGTATCACTGTCAAGTGTTGTCTCGGCAGACCATGCGGTTGGTGTTGTTCCGGTGAGCTTGGCTAATATCTGATCTCGGATTCTTGGATCAGCTCGGCTGAGGAACGTTGGGGCATTTTTTAACATGGCTCGGAAGATCCCTTGACGATGAAAAAATTCACACATTGTCTTATCGACTTCCCCTTGAAAAGACAAAGATGTTAGCAGCTTTCCCCGGGATGATAAGCTGAAATACAAACCTATGTGGTGATTCTTGGGGTTTTTTACCAGCATACCATTCACACGCTCGCCAGCCATTCCTGCAGTGTATGCAGGAGGGCCAAATAGACGGGCAATATCTTTGAGATGATGAAGGTAATGTAAGTTTGGCTTAACACTGACACCTTTCCAATGTGTGACAAGATGATTGCGGAAATCATGGAGCATTGTTTGTAAATCAACCCCGTCGTCTTCTTTCCAGGTTCGAGAAAACAAAGTGTTCGTGATTTCCACTACATAGATGAGAGACTGGCACATAGCCTGACTCTTGGGATCGTCTGACAGATAAAGCTTAGGAATGATTGTAAGGACGATGTAGACAGTGTAAAAGGTCAACCACTCTGTAGCCTTGAGCTTGCCTACCTTTGGCAAGCCTATACCGGTTGGAGGACGGGTCATCCAAGTTGGTGTTTGAACTTTTGCAATGCAGCTTTGAATATCTTCTAAATCAGACATTGTGAATTTCGGATTTGAAGGGTCATACTGCAAGCGAGTAGGTTTTGGATGAGTTTTTTTGGTGGAGGGTCCAGGCTTCGAAGTAGTACGTCCTGAGTTTGATTCTTTCACTCTAAGACGTTTATTTCCGACGTTTCCACGAACTGTTGTATCAGAATCACTACTGTGACTCTCCCGGGTTAACTGAGACACATTTACCCTGCGCTGCAATCGAACACGCCTTTGAATTTGAACAACATGAGTGATGTTTTTGGAAGTAATAGCTCGTTTTTCCCGCAGGCGAGTTGAACGTCGGACTGATACCTGAGACGAGGATTCAGCGGAAGGTTTAGTGGTTTCTGAATCATCCAAATCCATTGACTCGTCCACATCGATGCTATCGTTAGATTGTTCAATACCTTGAACTCCTGTCTCTGGGTGGCGCTGTTGACGGCTGCGTTTCTTGGGATTTAGGACAAGACTTGTTGTCTCCTCAGTCGAACAGGACTCAATTTCGCCTTCTGAGTCAGCAAAGAACTGAGACGAGTTGGAAGCACTTTTTGTTTCAGCAGGAAGCGTCAAATAACTAGGAAAGCCTTGATTATCCGAGTCAGGGACCAATTGTGATGACTGTTGGCTTGAGTCATGCTTCGGTTCAAGAATCGTGGGTGTGTCCTACAGATGGGTACAAAAATCGGAGTTCAACCATCATGATCGATAAAGTTATTATCAGTCCAAGATAACGTACACTATTCTGGAGATCAACAACCGCTTTTCTCAAAGGCATGGCCATCCGAGCATTCATTTTCTGTTTTGACGACAACGATTGACCAGCATCCTTCAGTCGTAGAAAAGACCCCGCGTGGTCATTAAGGAGGCCAAGCAGCACACAGTGCATAATGTCAACAGTGACAAATTCAATTGGACGCCAATAGGGAAGCTCAGACAAAACCGTGTATCGAACTCCACGAGCAGCAAAAACTTTCTCTTGATCCTTTTCAGTTGGGGCATCTCGCCACTCCTCGGCATGTTTTTGATGATCGGCTCGCTCCGGCCATGTTGATACATCAGTGCTGTCTCGTTGGCCTAAGGTAAGAGCGCAGTGCGCACAAAAGAATGTGGCAGAGTGGGCAGCAAACCCTGCCATCTTTCTCATCGCCAAGATATCGGCTATCAGAGGCCATAATGCAGCACGTATGACACGACCAGTTGGGTGAGCAGAAGTTGAGGTGAAAAATACTCCTTTCCACAACTCTTGGAACTCGTCTACTAGCGGTTTCAAAAGCTCGTTGGTTTGTTCGAGTTTTGGTTCGTCTGGCCCAGGAATCACTCCAAAAAGGAGAAGATACTCCTGCTTATATCGTATGTTTGGTGGTAAGTTGAAGCATATTAATAAAATAGTCCCATGAGAGTATCTACGGCGAGATCCACGTCCATGTGGATTAAACCAATCAATGTAGAGTCCAAAGATGAGATTCCCACTTCTCGAAGTAAAACACGTTCCTGATTGGGTAAAAGACTTCCACATTTCCCCATCCCATATGTCCTTCATTGTAGATGTGCTAGTAGTAGACTGATGCTGAAAGGGGGCGTCGAGAGAAGCTTCAAACCCAGGGATACAGAGCATTCTCCCCAGCCATTTTCGAACAGAATGATAATGAAACTGGCGATATGGCTTGAGCGCTGATGTATACATGGAGCGTCCACAAGGATGGCGAGTGACTGGATCGCTTGTTGATTCTTCGGGTTGTCGTAGAAACCGCAACGCCTTACATGTGAACGTGGGATCAACTTGGTCTTTGGAGACAGGCGGCCCATCCAGCGTGAAGCATTCGGGACAGCAAATCTGTGATTCCAGTTGGATATCAAGGTTCAACATCGTGTACAACGTGGGCAGGGACAATGGTAAGTCCTCCCAGTATGATCGGCCTGTATAGTTGGCGTCCTTTGCTGTCTGTTCAATCTGTAGCTTGTTCATGAGAAGCAGAGTGCGGCTCGAATCGTGTCCAGCACGTTTGATGATACTGCCGTGGGCGACCTGTAGCATTGCGATGATACAGGCTGGGCGCTGAAGATAAACGTGAGGAAATTGATAGGCCGTAGTCGAGACAGTCAATCCAAAAGAAGGATTCGTGCTATCTTCATCGGCTGCATTCGTTGCTTGAACATTGTTTGCAGAGCTGCTTCGACGTCGAGGTAGCCTAGATACCAAAAGGTCTGGCCTAGACGATGAATTTTGAACATGATTGATTGGTAAATGGCCAGCACTCAGTGATCTTCGCCGCCCCTAGTAACACAAGATTTCAGCTAAAAGTTTAAGTTGAAAAGGATGTTAGAATGTACTTGCGCGATCATTTGCAAGTCTTTCAGTTGCAGTCCCAGTGTGCTGTGGTTGGGCGGATTGAGATGGAGATCCTTGAATTGCTGTTGCACGGAGCCTTCGCAGCCTCTTGTTGTGGAGTGACCCATTTTGACGGTTCCTGAGCTTTCCGTGACGGAGAACCCCCTGAAACTCAAATTGTTCCGAGCCACATCCAAGTTCAGTACAGCAACAGATGTGAAATTTATTCATGGTAGACATTATAAAAGAAAAGACGTGGTTTTTGATTGGTGATGGGCTATTGTGGTGAGAATTTGATAGCGGAGAAGCTTCTACTGGCAGGTTTGGCCTCAGCCCATACTTCTATGTATGTATAAGCATCAACTTTGGGTGTGTATGTACACACCTATGTACACACCCGCTTTTTGCCGCTATCAGCTCAAATAGCAGTATAAATCGGTTCAAGATCAAGACTTATTGAAAGAAGCGAAAAAGGTTAACATGAAAGATAATGATTTTGAATGCATCTGTCATTTCATCCTCAAAACTGTAACTTGGTTGGAACAAATATACACAAGAAAAAGTGGCAAAACTGATTCAATTATGCAGGTCAGTCTTGAATAGATCATAGAAGCTATAAATATTAAAAAAGGTGACTACAAGTAAAAGATTGATATGATAATTGTGTACTACGATAAAGCAGCGCGTATCATACATGTTAAGACGCCAAGAGCAGGACTGAAAGATTTCTGAGTAAGAAGATACTTCTTAGTATCTTGAAAGCTATCCCGCCAACTGGGACAGTAACAATTCAATGGAAGATTCCGGGGAGCTTTTCCAGAAGTGGAGACTCGGACCGCCGGCCGCCTTCTCATATCCAGCCGAAGAGCTGCCCACCTTGCTCCATGTAAGGCCTTCTGCTGCTTAAAAGAAAGCTTATCGAGTAAATGAAGAAACTCCTGATATTCTGGACTTCTCCAAACCATCCCTACCGCTCGAGTCTGCCCAGGTCCATCGTCCTCGGTATCCGAACAGCAGACAGCATCTGGAAGGAAGTCTAGTGCAGTGGATAGAAGGTGGGGATTTTCGGCTTCAACCAATTCTTCAAGCGCTTCTTGCCGGTAACGAAAAATCTGGGTAGGAAGTCCATATCAGCAACCATAAAGATTCTTGACGTAAGATTTGCTGCTTCAAAAAACGTACAGTTGCTCGTCTCTGAGTTTTCTTCTTTCGAATGTAATATACTTCAGATTTTGTTTTTTGTCCCCGAAGCCATCTCTCCATTACAGCTCGTACTATCGCATCACTAAAATACTTAGGATCCGCCCCATATAAAGAGAACGCGCCATGTACTTGTGCCCATCTCCAGTGTTTTAGCAGCAGAGCAAGCATTATTTGATTCCAACGACAGTCTCTTGACTCCCAAGCAAGTGTTGCACGAGGAATGAGAAGTTGAGACATATCAGAAAGAAAGTATTCTTTGTAGATTAACCAGCATGATTTTTGTCGGGGACGATGGGTGATTTTTTTGGAAATACTAGGAGGTGGAAGATTGAGAGAGAATACAGTTGAATCGGCGAGAATGGACTCGGGGGTAATTTGCGGGAGAACACTGAGCTCCTCAGGAGTTGGACTATCAGGATATGGTACTCGAGAGGTAGAAACTCCAAGAAGATATTTCATGTAATCGATGATAGCCTGATAAGAGCCGGAATTTCGATCAGGTAGCCACGCAGCTACCTCTTTATTCTCTGCTTTCAGGGTTTTGACGGTCCTGCCATCTTTGAAATGCATAGCCTGGGTGACGACAGCTTTCCGCCAGAGTTGAGAGAAGAATCAGTGATTATTTCAACGTAATGAGAGTGTATTTCAACTCACATTCACTTATACTGGCTGCCGCTGCCATGGGTCTACGTTTAAAAAATCTACGTTTAAAAAATCTACGTTTAAAAAAGAAGAAAACTCTGGAAAACTTCGCCGGGAAGATGTGATACAAAATAAACAAAGCAGAGAAAAAGGTTTGAAAATCCGCAGAGATTAGTGCCTAGACGCAAATAGAGAGAGTTTTGTTTACTCTTGACCAATTTGAAGGTCACTGGATGAAGCGGAAAGCTTTCAAGGGCTAATTGACTGAAACTTGTGACACGTAAATGAGAAAAGAAGAGAACACTCTGCAAATCTTCGCTGGGAAGATTGAGATGTGATACAAAATGAACAAAGAGAAGGGAAAAGTTTGAAAGTCCACGTAGATTGGTGCCTAGACCGTGACGCAAATAGAGTAAATTGGGAGGTCTTTGCCAGAAAGACTGAAATGTAATACACAACGAGTAAAAAGAAGAGTCCTACATATGGAAATTGGCCATGGTAGTGCTCAGAGGTATATCAAGAGGAGCACAAAAGAATTTGAAAAAGAGTGACGGATTGACCTACTCAAAAAAGGGGCAGGATAAGCGTGATTTGTTACTTTGGGAACTACAGCTTGAGGTTCGGGCTTGGTAAGTAGAAGGACGTCATGATAGGTCATGATCCTACTCATGAAAGGGGTGAGAGTTTGATTGATTGTTCTCACCCTGTCAAGATCATGGAAATCTTGCCGAGAAGAAACAAACAGAGCAAGCAGAATAACAAAAGACTTTCACATCTTACCGTTTATGTAACCATTCCCTAAGTCCTTCAGTTGTTTGTGCATCTGTTGAGTGAACAGCCCATACTTTGATCTCACTAACACGCATAGGACCACAATGAACAAGGTGTAATTTTGGTCCTATGACATGACATAAGACCATTATGATGTAATATACAATGGCCTTGTTTACCTTGTTTACCTTGATTCCGAAAAGACTTCGCAAACTACCACTTGAGGTAGGAGGACATCATGATCTTACTCGTGAAAGGGGTGAGAGTTTGATTGATTATTTTGACCCGTTCAAAATAATGGAAATCTCGCCGAGAAGCAACCAACGGAACAGGGAGAGTAAGAAAAAGGGCTTCTTCATCTTACCGTTTATGTCACAACTGATTCAGTTGCTTGTGCATCTGCTGAGAGGACAGCCTATTTAAGCTCTACTTTTTGGACTACACTCTGACCTAGGCATCCGAATACTCAGTCAGCAAAGACACCACTGTTTGATCCATCACGTCTTTTTCTATTCCATCTAAATATACTTTCTGATCACTCACTATGTTCAAAAAATGTGCCTTGAAGGCGAAAAGTTGGATATGTAATTCTCTTTTATCCTGCTCACTCTTTCGATTTCATTTGTTGACCTAAGCCTTGATATGCTCTATCAACTTCGCAGCCAACATGAAAACCCAAGTTTCTAGACGCCCATCCGGTGTCACACGTCACGTATTGATCAAGTCTCCACTTCGAAAGCGGGCCTCAGAAGCCAGGAAGTGGATTGGTATACCTCGTCTCGATTTATGTTCTCAGTGTAGAGATTTCTCTTTGCTGACTATCCTTTTTCTGGTTTACTTCCTTCCAGCATCAAGATTTCGTTTACGTCGATTCCCAGGAGGTTCACAACTTAAGAACACCCCACCAAACACCGATTTGCCCAACCCCATAGATACCGCTCGTCTTGATGGGACTCGTGTTGGATTCCGCACCCCTCATCACAGTCCACAATCATCGACACCTAGCTCTTCTACTCAATCAAGCACCGGCACCCTGCAAGTGACTTTGTTCAAATCAAACCACACGGAATCCACCCCGTCAAGTCCTATTCACATGGTAGATCTGAACACAGATCTAGATTCTTCCATCCTAGATTCTCCCGCTGCGTCAAACCCAACGCACTTGGGTTGCACTACCTTGTATCGGAGTGCCTCGTGTGCTGCACTTCATGCTGATCATATGACTCGGTCTAACCGGCGCCCCAGGGCGGCATCAGCACCTGTCTTACAACAGTCTTATAGCGAAATTTCACTAGAACAAGCCTCGTCTGTTGAACCTCTTCAACACGCTAGCTCTCAACGCAGCCACCGTCCCATATACTTAGACTTTACTACGCCACACATAGCTACTTACTCTTTGAGTGATGTCCTCAATTCGTCTGACATCAGTGTTGCTTTAGATTTGAGTCTTACCTCTTCAGCAATCAGCTTGATGAGCATTGATCGCTTCACTCTTGAACCCCCTCTTGAATCCCGTGTAATTGGTCAGCGGGCTCACAAGCGCTCAAGATCACTATCTGAATGTGTCTTAACCAATAATCACGATTGGTCAAGAGGTAAGTGTCCTGTTATATGCCATGAAACTACGGCACAAGTAGTTTTTGAGTTGAACTGTTTTGTTCTAATTTGTTACAGATCGACCGGAAAAGCGGCGCCGAATTTCTTCTGAGGCTGACATACACGCCTGTGAAGGCGATTTTAGGAAACGTTGTGTCTCGGTCTCTGCTTACGAACAACTTGAGGGTAAGTCTTGAAATTTGCAATCGCTCTGTCATCAAACCTCAATTTAACACTATCTTTTGTCCTCCAGAACCGGCTCACAAGCGCCAGAGGCCTATTATGGGTTTAATGTGATCCCTGTCCTTGGTACATAACCAGCTACTTGTATAAACTCTGGGTTAAATACACGCAATTGGCCAGCTAAAGAGATTTGAAATGTGTCAGAAACAGAGGAAGATGAGTCGAAAGAATTTCACAGAAGAGTGTTCATGTAAATAGATGTATATAAATCCACGTAAATATAAATACAACGAGCTGTTGATAGGAAGAAGCCTCTGAATTTGATTTTGCTACACCACATATGGATGTAACTGTATCTTAATACCTGAAAGAGTCTGCTATGGTTCACAGCTCTGACTGTACCATCAATCTTGTGCTTTGGGAGTTTTTGATGGCATAAATTCATTGCTTTTTCCTGTAAATAGATGTATATAAATCCACGTAACTATAAATACAACTGAGCTGTTGTAGGAAGAAGTGTCTAATGGTGATTTTATACACCACATATGGATGTAGATTTTTTTTAAGACCTGAAGAGGGTCTGCTACGGTTCATTGCTCTGAGTTGTCTGCATCATAATCTAGTGCTTTGGAAGTTTTTGAAAAATTCATTTTTTTTTTCATGTAAATAGATGTACATATATAAATCCACGTAACTATAACTACAACTGAGATGCTGATAGGAAGCTGAATTTAATTTTGCTACAGCGCATATGGATGTCACTGCTTCTTGATACCTGAAGGGAGTGTGCTACGTTTCGTGGCACTGACTGCAGCATCAATCTTGTGTTTTGGGAGTCTTTGATGACAAATATTCATTGCTTTCATGCAATGTACACATAGACTTCAATTGGTTGCATTGATAAATTGCACAGAAATGTATACCAAATTCAAGATATATGTAGGACTCGGAGACGTGAATTTAATGAAGATATATGATTCAGGCAATTTGTTGTCACCTTCCAGAGCTAAAGTACATGTATATTCTGAGAAAAGTGGAAAGTAATTATTCAATATAAAAAATGTGACAACCACTCCAATATCTCACCAATATATCAATGACACAATTGAGAGGATAGTCAGTGCTGCAATGATTAATCAAGAATTCCATATTCATCAAGATAGTACGTCGCAGTCAAAGAGTTTAAAGCTATGGCTGTCCTGCTGGACGAAGAAGCCATCGAGTACGTGCAATCAGAGGTGTCAAATCAAATACCTTAGCTGATAGATCAAGAGCGGCCACTTCAGCTCTTGAAACGTATGTATCCATGAATTCTTCATCTAGCAAAGATCTTGGAAATCCTCGGGGAGGTCGAGAAAGAATGTCGGCTTCTCCTGGTTCGGCATACAACCCACGTAGCAACGCCTTGGTGGCAGTAGTCTTAGCCTGATCATTCTTTTGGGTGGTGATGCACAATGAATCTAGCTCATTGAGCAAGGTAACAAGATCTTGGGATCTCCAGAGCTTGGGTATCCTGTACAAGGTACCATCAGAGTCGACTTCGTCCTCGGAGTGTGCCGATTGGTGAGACAAAATATTGCGGAGGTCGCTGTGCTCTTTGAAATGTATTTCAAGAACCTGTCGGCGAAGCTCACAGACCTATGCGAGAAGTCGCATAAAAAATAAGCATCAAATCATAGAAGGCTGTCCCTCATTAGGAAGGCATATGTCATGATCACTTACCCGCTTCTGAGAGGCCTTTTTACAAAGCTTTTCTTTTGCTTCTGCTGGATCCGCACCGCTTTTTTCATCGGAACATTGGGATACGTATTCGCGGGACTTCGTATTGAACCATCTCTCCAGTATTTGACGAATGTTCTTGGATGTTACCAGCTTGATATTGATGTCGTAGTCATCGGCTGCTCCCCTCCTATGACACTTTTCCCATTCTTCGGAGATAATGGCCAGCACACTTTCATTCCAGCTTGACTTGGCAGAATGCAGCCAATCATACGCAAGTCGAGGGAACCCAGCAAGAGCCAAGACTCTTTCACAAGTATAAGCTACAGATGTTGAGTATCCAATTCGACCGTTTTGAAGCACAACTTGAGAGACAAATTCCACAGGCTGAGCATTTGATACAACTTTTTCTGCGGCGAGTTTTTCAACAATAGCAAGCTGGGAGGTAGTAGCAAGTGGGTTCTTTCGGCGGTAGCGATTACGAGCTTCGAGGATTGATCGCTGAACTACTTCCTGCCGCAAGACTTCGCGTTGATCCCATTCACGGTACTCTTGATTAGATGGTGGTGGTGGAAGCAAATAATCAGAATTTCTACCCTTTCTTTTTCGTGGTATCCCAAAAAGAAGCTTGACGTAATCTTGAATTGCTCTGGTTAGTGGTTCGTGAGGAGAACATTTTGGAGTATTCTTTGAAAGCTTGGCTAGTCGTGTCGATTCTTGTCTTTCTTTTGTTTTTTGAGTCCGGCTTTTCGCTTCACGGGCTTTGTACTTTTGTCTCTCAGCAAGATCGAAATCACCATCTGATTCGTTGTCTTCAAAGTCGCTGTAATCAAACTCATCTTCTGGCAATTCATTCTGAGTATCAAGTGGGGTAAATTGACGTCCATGTCGGTCTTCTGTCAAACACAAAGACATTTCATCTTCCTCACGAGATCGAGGACGCACTCCAGCATATCTAGAACGGGTGCTGCTTGAATCTATTGACATCCTTGAAGATCCACGTGTTTGAGATGGTAAAGTAAGGTTCCCTTCTGAAGATGAATCAATTGACATAATAGAAGATCCGTGACTAGCAGGTATAGTGTAGTGTCCGAATTTGCGGGGAGGCAAGCTATCATGAGGAGCAGATGAATGTCTAGATGTATGAGTACCTCCACTAGAGTTTCCAGGATGCCGAGGTATTCTTGTTCGCGAAGTTGATGCGATGGGTGGTGACCAAGACCGCCGTGAATGAGTCAATAATGCTTGTGAAGTTGATGCTATGGGTGGTGACCGAGACCGCCGAGGATGGTTCAACACTGCTTGTGAAGTCGACGCAATGGGTGGTGACCGAGACCGTCGTGAATTTGAGGTGTGGGACCGCGGAGCGTAGGATATTGTGTCTTGCAATAGCCCAGGAGATGCTAGTCGAGGCCTTCCGGAGCATGATGACTTCAGATTCAGCGGGGCAATCTTTCGCTGTTGGGATAGTATGGTGCGTGTCTTGAGGCCTTCCGAAGGCGCCTGAGCCTCTTGAGGGGGAAAAGATTCGTTGCCACACCGACGCTTAGGCTCCTGTTCGTCGTCATCATTGAATGTCTGGGGTCTTTTTCGCGAGCTGTGACCATCTCTCGATAAGATATCCAGCCTCGCTGTGTGATGATCGGGTGATATATGGTATGGTATGGTGGAAATTCGATGTCGTGCGCTTGGAAGAGAAGGAGCGCCAGGTGTGATGATTGAAGGATTGTAATTCGCCTGGATGTTGCTTTCCGATGATTGTTGTGAATGATCTTGCTGGCTTTGGAAGCGTCGATCAGCCAGAATGCTTTGAAGCTGTTGATAAAGCGCGGACTGTGTTTCGTCTATGGTTTGTTTGGATCAAGTCTACCAGTCAGATCTAAGGGCACATTTTGAGGGAAATTTCAAAGAAAGAGACCGACTCAATTGCTCATAGACTGGCTGAAACGTAGAGTCTGGGTGTCCTGGGTCATTTTTTTCATAAAGCTCTGGTGGGTTTTTTGGTTGGCCGGGGTTTTCTGGGTCTGTCCAATCCAAGTCAGAATTGCACACCTGGACAGATGGACAGGAACATTTATACAAAAGACAAAGCAAAAAACAACAGACCCATCTGATTATATCCGTCATCATCTTTCCCAGTAGGACTCGGCGCATTGTTATGTGACTCGATGGTATTTGCATAAAAAGCCACAGGACTTGTGATTTGTTCCAAGGCGTCATCGGCTGGGCCTGTACAGAAGCAACTTAGATTGATATAAAACATAAAAGATATAGCAAAAACACCGACCACTTTGATTATATCCAACCTTTGTTTCATTTGATGTGTAGTTGTCCAAGACGTTTGTAAGTCTTTCCGGGCCACCTGTAGGACCTACTGTATTGAAGGGATGTGATCGGATGACATTTTCGTCAAAAGTGTTGCGACTGGTGATTTGTTCGGAAACATCGTCGTTGACTGGGCCTGTATAAAAGGTAGGAGTCAGAATGGAGCCAAAACAACAACAAGCAGACAAGACTTGCAGATAAACTCTTGATCAACTGCTTGGGAATAAGGGTCTAGGTAGGTTCTGGAGTCAGCATGGGAGCTTGATATGAAAATTTGTTGACTTGGATGGCGCTGCTCACAAGAAGTCTCTGCCTGAGAGATCTCTGTGTAACGTTCATCCTCTGCCACATCAATCTTGGTTTGTGATTGCTGATCGTGTTCTTCTCTCCATGGGTTGGCCATTGAATACTTATTGAGTTGGGACATTGTTGGAGGATTCAGATGATCATGACAGTCGAGCAAGAAGGGTGGATTAGTGGGCAGAGTTCACGAGGGGTCCAGGTGAAAGGGGGAAATTTGATATACATACATACATGTATCACAGAATGTGTTTGCGTATTGATTGATTACAGGTACAGTGTTACGAATACATGGTAGCTTAACTATGTCCCTCTACTAAGTACTTGCTCGTCCAAGAGGGACTTAGTTAAGTTAGGAATACGTGTAATGTCAATGATATGTATGTACATGCAAGAGGAAAGGAACAAAGGAGCGGTGAGCCTGCGGGATGATGAAGATGCTTAGTTCAAAGCTCAGATGATCATGAGTGTACCTCATCTCTGCATCTGGCTCACTTTTGTCTGCGCTTGACGTGCTCAGTTTTGTCTATTTGACAAATCCTTGCCAAATCTACGGAGATTGGAGCTCGCCTGGCGACGGCGCATTTCTCGCGGACACAGTGTAAGCTGATGTTGCATTTCGCGTCCAAGTG